GGCGCAATGTGTAGGCTGTATAATGAAATTGTAAACCGCCCGGAGAGTGCTTGTAGCACTATGGGGCGGTATATAAGTCCAAAAATAAATAAAATAAATAAAAATAAAATATCTGCCTTGTTCCCTTGAGGTTTTCACCGATATATTTTTAACGAAGGAATGCTCTAATACACCCAGTTTCTGCAGTGCCAACTGTTTTAGCATTACAGAATGCTAAACAATGCTATAATACTAAAGCAGCAGCAGCTTTTAAGATGCAGTTTCCTTAACTGACTCCTTGAACTTTGATAACATTGCCTGGTGTAAGTTTGTGAAATGAAAGCCAATAAGAATGTTGCATTCCCGTACCCAAAAAATGAAACAACAAATTTACAACCAGACACACAAGTACAATCGTGTCTCGCATAGCGATCGCTCTGCATAGCGAAGAAATCGCTTTGCGACACTGTTTTTGCGATCACAAAAGTGATTGCTTTGCGATGGCCCCTATGGGGAAAATTCGCTTTGTGATGATCATGGGGAAGCGATCATCGCAAAGCCCCCATTTTCGGCCAACTGATCGGCGGTTCCAAAATGGCCGCCCGCTGTTTTGCCTCACTTTAGAGGCACCGAAAATGGCCACCGAAATGGAGGATTTTCACTTAAGGTGAGTTTTGGAGCCCATAGGAACACATTGAAGGGGTTTCTGGAGTCTTGGTGCAGGTTTAGACATTCTGGAAAATGTGCAAGGGCACACAGAAACAACTGATACTCCTATCTCATGCTTACAGGTCCTTTAGAGTCAGAAGGGTGAAAAGAGACAAATATCTCTTTTACACATGTTTACTCTTTATCCACATAGAACAGGGGTCTCAAACATGCGGCCCGCCAGACGATAGTTTGTGGCCCCCGCCTTGCCTGCCCCTCTGAAGCACGCACACGTCCTCTGTTGTCAAGAGTTTAAAAAAAAAGCCCAGCCTCGCTCGCCGGCTCTCTCCGAAAGGAGGGTGCAAGAGGCGCTGTCTTGACAGAGAGCTGGCGAGTGAGGTGCGCTGCCAGCCCTTTTCCCCTGAGCCGCCACCAAGCGATGCCCGAGAGCGGAGCTCGCTCCTGGCCCTTTCTCGAAGAATGCCTCCAACAGCACCGCCAACAGCAGCTGCCACCGCTGCCTCTTTCAGGGAAGGGATCCTCTGGCTCTCTTTCTCTCTCAGCACCCCCCAGCACCAGCCCAGCCAGCGGCCGCTTCAGCGCCCAGTGGTGCTTCTTCTTCCTCCTCCTCCTCGGAGCACCAGCTGGGCTAAGGTAACTCCTAGGTGGCTTCCTCTGGCTCTTGCTCCGCTTGGCGGAAAAATCAGATGCAGCCCAGCCTCACCCAGACTCTGCCTCCAGCGGCCCCCAGGTAAATTGAGTTTGAGACCCCTGACATAGAAGAACATCCCTTCCATCTAAACTACAGAGTCAATTCTTCCTGTCATTAGAACGTAAATTGCTCAGAAAGTTGCAGAACCTCTCCTGAAGGTTTTTTGGGAAGCATTTACATGCACATTCCAAATGTCAAACAACATTTAAGAAATAATGATTACAGTCCAAACCATTTACAGACAGATGAACTTTTTTGGAGTTTAAGGTACACCACCACCATCCCGCCTTCTGCAGAAGCTCAACAACTGCTTCTGTATCCACAATGTTTTCAGAGATTAGAAAAACACTACAAGTAACGATGTCCATGCCACATCACTAGCAGTTAGATCCAACAAGGAAAGAAGAAGCTCACCTCATAGACTATGTAGATTGATAGTGCTACCATGGAGAAGTTGTAAACAACCATGAATGTCTTGAGGTTCATGGGTTTTCGGTTGGCCATGAGCCGTGGTCCCAGAGACAGTACGAAGTAAGCATAGCTCAGCAAGATGCCAGTCATTAGCCATGGAGAGCCCATAAGTGGATATGAGGCTACCCGAGGATCTGCAGAAAAACATGGATTGTTCACCAGGTAGGCAGGCAGACACAAAGGCTAACCATTGCCTCCACTGTACTATTATCGGCAACTCTGTACCAGGACTGAGATGTGATTCAAATGTTTTGAATGACAAGTACTTAAGATACCACAAGGAAAAAGATAGCAATCATGAGGCAACCATAGACTTGCCTTCATTAGGAGGGGGAGGGGGAGAGGAAAAGTAGGTAAGGCCTGCATCACTTAGTTCTTTGGTTGAATAACCTAAGCTTACCTGCTCCCTTCATGAATTCTCGATACATATTCACCAGTGACTCCATGGCTCCTTTATTGGCACCTGTTCTGTACAAAAAGGACCTGTGTTAGTCAACCCATTAGGAATGGGACAACCTGCAAGTTATGCTTTAGCCCTCTGCAACATCACCCATTCCCATATAGAATGCTATCAACTATTCTGACTTCCTGTCTTCTCAGTTCTCGCACCTACATATCATTTGTCTGGACAGCAACACATCATAGGAAACTTCAACTACAAACATGTTGCTCCTGCTAATAGCTAGGAAGGCAAAAAAGGCAGGACTTAAGTGCTGCGAAAAAGTGCTGTGCCATATCATCAGAATAACTTTGAAAAAATAATAACTTTTAAAAAACAAATCAAATTTATATAATTAAGCAGAAGCATCATAGTTTTATTCTCTACAAAACACAGTTCTGTGGATGCCATTTGTTTCATGTTCAAGGGGAGGGGAAGGGGGATCACCAGCAGCACATGCCTTCTTAAGAGGGAAAAGACAGATATCATGTTTCCCCGAAAATAAGCCCTACCCTGAAAATAAGCTCTAGTTCAGTGAAGCCCTGCCCTCCACCAGGGACTCGCTGGGATCCTCCCAAGACCTCAAAAGAGACTTAAAACGTCTTCCCCATCTCTCCCACTTCCCTCGCTTGCAGAGGGGCTGGGCAGCCAGGGAGGAAGGAGCTACGTGCCACCAGGAACTTGCTTCTTGGTTGGAATTTGCTTCTTGAAAAAAATAAAACATCCCCCGAAAATAAGCCCTAATGCATTCTTTTTAGCAAAAATTAATATAAGACCCTATCTCATTTTCGGGGAAACACGGTACTAGTATATACTCTACAAGAAACTGCCAAGTAGCAACAATTAGCATTTGGCCCATTCATTTTCTCCAAAAGAAAACACTTTCTTCTGTCACCTGCAAGTAAAGGGCAACCTCTCCCTTAAGGTCTAGAAGATGAAGGAAAGATCGCATACTAGCTATATGCAAAAGGAAATGGGACCAGTTCTGCCATATTCTTCAAGCCAGGCATGGAGCACAGATATATCTGGAGCCCTCCAGATATTATTGGACTGCAAGTCTCATCAGCCCTAGCTTGCAAAGTCACAATGGAAGCTGGAGCTGAACAACTTATGAAGTATGGAATGTTCTCCCACCCCAGCCCTAAGGTTTGGCAGCTCCCAATAATTCACTTTGAGATGGTATATCCCATATTCTCTTGCTCCTGATCCCACATAAGTGATGTTTGGTCTTTGCACGCCAAGATAGTTCTAGATCTCCATGGCTGACAGTGCAGCATCAGTTCTTACAAAATGGAAGGTCTTACAAAGTTTACTTGTCAGGATTTCAGCTAGGCATGTATAAATAATTCAGACAGACTAAGTAGGGCTGATTCAGATTCGATCCAAAGGTGAGTAGATTGGTCCCAATCTCTTCATTCATTCAGACACTAACACCAGGTTATGTGATAAAGAGGAGATCAGGACTTTCTTCATGGACAACTTTGGTTTGGAATTTCTGACAAAAATCTCACGAGCCCTTTCCAGTCACAGTGTTTGCAGTTGGACTGTGTGCAGTCACTGAAATTACCATGTTTCCCCCAAAATAAGACAAGGCCTTACATTAATTTTTGCTCAAAAAAGCGCATTAGGACTTATTTTCAGGGGATGTTTTATTTTTTTCACATACAACAATCTACATTTATTCAAATACACCCATATCTTCTGGTTGCTGCACAATGGTGGAGAGTGGGGTTTCATTTAACTGGGGCTTATTTTTGGAGCACGACTTATATTACGAACATCCTGAAAAATCATACTAGGGCTTATTTTCAGGTTAGATCTTATTTTTGAGAAAACAGGGTATATACAGTATTTTGTTCTCTCATGCACCTCTTCATTTTGTTTTTCTTCAGCTGTTAGAAGCATATAATTAAAAAACTGCTATCAAAACATTGTTGATTATCAGTAGTTTATTATCCTGATTATCACGAGCCTTTGCCTCTTCACTTCCAAACCTTTTGCATTGTTAATCTACATGGCCCACGCTAATTCTCTTTTGCCTTTTCTTCTGTTACTTTGCCTATTTCAGTAGTAAACCTTAGCTTGTTAGTAGTCATATTTACCCTTCCCCTACATATCATCTACTTTCACTTTGGGCTGGGCAAGACTCTCTCATAGTTTTAAAAATAATTTTATTGGAGTTTTGAAGGTAGGTTTTTTTTTATCACTGTAGCCTGTATTTCACCTTCATTCATCCTATTAGTACCTACCCATCACTTATTTCTTATTTCTCTTCCAAACCAATTTTCTTATTTATTTCTGTTGCTTATTTGAGTGAATCTGTTATGTTGTTCTCAGTGTTATTTCAGAAGTAAATCATAGACACAATCATACTGTATGTAGAAAATCAGCACTCATAATGAGCAAAATTTGCAAGCTAAAGCAAATTTTAAAGGTGGATGAACAAAAATATTGGACTTCTCTGTATGAAACACTTCAGGAATCATCAACTCAGAAGAAACAGGAATATCTCTGAATTCCATAGACTAAACCAAAAAGGTTACAACCTTTTAAATACTTAATGGAAATCAAATTGAGGTGTGAAAATTTAGTTTACTGAATTTTGATTTCGATCTGAATTGGATCAGGTCCAAATCAACCCAAACCAAACCAGGCCTGAACCTGAATCATATCCCAAAATCGGAGAACTCTTGCATAGCCCTAATTTCAGCATTCTGTAGATACTTACATGCATGCACATGCAAAGCTTGCCCTCCCTAAAGCCCATAGCAGATTTAAAGACAGCAAGGAAGATCGCCAAACCAGATAGCAAAGCTCAGACAACTGATGTAATTTGTAATGGTAGTATTTTTTTTCCAGGCCGCCTGGTATCTACAATAGTTTCCTGCTGTTCATAATAGCTGCCTACAGATACAAGATATTCAATACAATTAATTCATTCATATTACAAAGACAAGGGAGAGCAACAACCAAACAAACCTAAGAATTAAAAAAAATTCCAGTAGAAATTTCATATCTTCTCTTGCACAAACAGGAGAGTTTCCATGTTTTCCATAAATCTTGTTTTTTAAAAAAATTCAAACTATTAAGGAAAACACAGAAAAAGAACAGGAATAACCTTACATTGTTATAACATAGTCTGTACAGCCTAGAAGATATAAAGAAGTCAAAATTATAAGCAAAATCAGAGGAAAAATTAACGTTAGATGGATGACAATCAGTACACCAATAGGGGGCACATTTAATAAAGATATTTCCTCAGTCAAAAATAAATAGATCATTGTCTAGTATGTATGGTTTGATTAAACTTCTAGAAAAGAGTGTATTCAGGGCATGCATTTTAATATATCAACTTCTCAGACACCAAGCCACTGGACTTAGATGTCTTTTATAGTACTGAGTAACTACACTAACAACCAGAAAAATAATTAATTCTTTAGGAATCAAGTTCTGCAAGATCTCTAGAAAGGTAAGTTAAGAGCCTTAGAAACAAGATAAATAGAATAAGAGATGTCACTAATCTTGATTAGAGACAGACACAAACCAGGATGTTTGTCAAAATTTGCTGGTTCGAGTTAGTTTGAGTTCATCAAAAGTGATGAATCAAAACAACAAACTTTTAAAGCGATTTTTGTTTTGTTCAGTTGATTTTTCCCATTTTTCTCTCCCCCTGCTCCCCACAACCTGCTCCTGTCACTCAGAAGCACTAGGCCAGTGGTTCTTAACGTGGGCGATAATGCCCCCCAGGGGGCGATTTCATTTTTCAGGGGGGCGGTAGAACAAAAAGGGGCGGTGTGGGGGCGGTAGGGGGGCGCTGGAGCAAGCCAAACCTGTGAAGATGGCTGCAGCCTTTTTACAATGTGCATGAATATATATTTTCCTCCAATCTTAATTTAGTTTCAGATTTTTCGTCTTGAAATTTTTAGTTCCTGCATTGTGGTTTGTTTTTATGCCCTTTTTATATTTCTTTTTGAGGCTTAAAATTCGCTTGCAACTAAATCATTAAATGTTACTTTT